GACTTCGCTGGGTACGCGGCACGGCAGGAACAGGACGGTCACTTGGGTCACTTGGGGTCCCAGGGGTACGATGGCGACGCGCTCTCCTCGGATGATAAGGTGCGACGCGTCTACGATTTGGGCCAGTGCGGCCTCACTGTTGACGGTAACTTGGTAGTTCCGGCCTCCAAAGTGCTGAACGCAGTATACTTCTTCGATTCCTACTATTGAAGACGTCGCGTTAACGACGTCTTCGGGACTACTCCCCTCGGGGACGACTACGTCGAAGGCTAGCGCCTTCTTCGGGAGCTGGCTTGCCATGAAGGGCGTCCGCCAGCCCAGGGACGCCGTGAGACGCTAACGACGACGTGAGACGCTAAGACGCTCCTTATGGTAGAGCTGAAAGCCGTCATTTAACAGGCCTTCTCGTTACGTGTACGGGCAAGTGGGACGAGAGAGGCAGTGGTGAATGAAGGCAGTCAGCTGGTTTTGCTTTAACATTGCCTCCGAAATAGAGGTTGCGACCTTAAATCTCTGCGTCAGTTTAATGATTTCGAGTACTTCGTACTCAACTATGGGAGAGTAGTGTACCGTCCCTTAGAAGAAAGCCACAACGACCGCTTATATCCCCTGTGTGTTTAGAGAAAGTGGCCAACGATTTAGAGTTACTCTACTATGGGAGAGCTGAAAGCCGTCCCATGGACCTCTTTACACTATCGATGAAGGCAGGGCAACAAGAAGTAGTGACGAAGTTGCGCGTACAATACTGCGCAACAGTAACCTTTAGGCGCGCGAGAGATGTAAAACCACTTTTACACTTATGATATGACTATGCAAGTCGCCGGAGATACCATCATGCAGATCATCGTGATGTGCGCTGCTTGTGGTTTTGAGAATTCCTGAAAGCACACGGATTGGGGCCTATGAAGATGACGGTGGTTCTACACACCACTGGTCGCTTTCCTCACAGAAGCACCCTTCTATTCTAAGGGGCTTTTATCCGGACTCCTAAAGCTGGCACGCGCCGCCCGCTCTCTTTAGCTACGCCGTGAGATAAGGTGGCTTCTTCCCTGGGGAGCTATTATCTGTGTGTCTGTTTCACCGGCACCGAGTCTGCAAGGTCCTTTCTGTTTGTGTGGTCATTTAACGGGCCTTCTCGTTACGTGTACGGGCAAGTGGGACGAGAGAGGCAGTGGTGAATGAAGGCAGTCATCTGGTTTGCCTTTAACATTGCCTCCGAAATAGGGTGTTGCGACCTTAATCTCTGGGTCAGTTGCAAGGTGTGTTGCAATACCTTGGGCACACTGCACCTCTCTGCACTTTTCCTCTACACTTCAATGCGCATATGCGCTGATAGTACATTTACATAAGCTGTTTTGTTTCGGATGGTTGGTGTTTTACTTCGGTCTCCTGCGCATGGTAAGTGATTGTACAGCAGTCGAGACCATTAGAAAAAATACATTTAGTCTTTTATCGGAACGAATATAACATTGGGGGAGAACTGAAGACGTAGGAAATTACATGATAGCTACGGGGAACCACAGAAATGGCGAGAAGCGGCTATACTCTTTTCGTTGCCTCTTTGGGGATTCGAACGTCATTGTGACTTCGTATAAAATTCATATCAATCGGAACAGATTGTATGAGGCTTACAGTCTAAATATTTTTAGCAGTGATGTTGAGGGCTGTGGAGACAAACGTAATAAAATGGCATGACTGGATCTACAACTCGACGTGAACGGGCACAGGTGTGAGCCAAGGCAAAAACACATGTTTTTTACCAAACGAGATAAACAAATAAATAAATAAGTAAACAAATAAATAAATAAATAAATAAAACATGTAATAACAACGACTAGTATGTGACATGCCAAATGGGACAGGCAGGCCCGTATCCAGACATTTCTTTAGGGAGGGTGGGAGGGGGACACTTGTTGAAGGCCTTGGGAAGCACCTACTTTTATTAGTTTTTATCAGTAGAGCACCCTATTCCGTCTAAATTTCGGGGAAGCTTTAGGGAGGGGGGGGGTGATTTCGGCTGCGGGCCTGGAGACAGAAATGAAATGAAAACAGAAATATACGCAAAAAATATGTTAGCAAAGTTGCAGGCGATGAATTTTGAACTCAATTTTAGTCAGATGCCGCTTTCATAATTGTAGGCATCAGTGGTGCTCCCCAGCTAATGTGACGAAAATTGCTTCTCGGCGGCTGCCAATCCAACTATATTTGGAGCTATTTTTTTGTGGCGCAGAAAGCTGAACGCACTGACAGAACTCATTATCATCATCATCATCATCATCATCATCATCATCATCATCATCAGCAGCAGCAGCAGCAGCAGCAGCCTGACCACGCCCACTGTAGGGCAAATGCGTCTGCCTTGTTTGACCGGTCCAACCAGTCCTATGCTTGCTGCAGTCACGTTATCCCCACACTTCTTAAATCGCATCTCTTCAACCTACTTTCTCTCTCCCGCTCATGCACTAGCGTACCATTGGAACTATGTCTGTTACTTTCAATGAATAGCGGTAATCTTGTCTACGTCCTACGTGCCTTGATCATGCCTGTTTCTTCTTGATTTAAACTAAAGTATTCTTATAACCAAATTGTTCCCTTACCCATACTATTATCTTCTTGCCACTTAAGGTTACATAAATAATTTTCGTTTTCATTGCTCGTTGCCGTCGTCCTCAGTTTGAGCTGAACCATCTTGATGGACCTCTATAGATTTCAGCTCTGTAGGTAAGTACCGGTAAGATGCAGCTGTTACATGGACCTGTCTCGTCAGGAATAGTGGTAAATTACCCTTCATGATTTTGGAATACCTGCCACACGCACCCCACTCATTTGTTATTCTTGTTACTACAGTCTCCTGGTTTGGCTTTGACACAACTGGTGACTCGCAATGCTATCGTCAAGGGATGATTTTGCTAAACATAGGAGCGTTCCGTGGACAGCCTTGCCATTGTACATGTACACGCGGCATAGTTGACAGTTTCGGTCTATCTTCCTTCTGTTCAAACCGCGACGTCTGCTCCAAAATAAACAGCGCATACACTACAGTCTAGAGCTCTTCCTGTGTCCTCTTTGTCAGCGTACGGCACACGGTAGGTACTTCACGTATCTCGTTCCTGTTACACAAATACGTGACTACAGATTGTTAGGCTGACTCAGCATGTAGCGAAATATGTCGACCAATTGGCCGATTGTCAAAGTATAAGGAATTATCAGACGTATGAGGGAAATTTTCTTTGAAATAGGATCGTCGAAGTGAAACGGATAAGTTAGTTGTCAAGTTAAATCTAAAAAAAAGTACCCTTGTGCTCTGAGTAGGACCACACTTGTGGGTTTTCAATTTGCTTTGACCATTCACGTTTTCTTTCTTCCATCGAAATGGAAGAACAAGAAAGTTTTGTCCTTGTCCCAGACACAGTGCGGTTTCCAAGTTCGAAAATTGAAATTTATATTTTTCGTTCATCAGTTATATTCTACGTCTACGTTGAGTCGTCATGACTGCTTTCAAAATGAATATCAGTGTAGATTCATTGCTGTAGGCGTGTCACTTCAGACAAGGACTAAAAGTGTGGAGTGTGTACCATAGGCCTAATAGCGCTGTACCGAATTCGCCCGAGTCTTCCGTCCTTAGAAATTTCAGGCTGCCTGCATGGACTGTAGCTATGTCCCTAGCAATGCCGTAAGACCGTTGCGTCACAGATGCGGTCGGTTACAAGCGTAAAGAGCTGCTAATCTACGGCGTTTGTCCTTCGGTCAAATGTCAGGTGAACTTCGGTTACCGTAACAAGGCACTATGCCTAGGAAAGGTTTCTAAAACAAATTAGAGAGGCTGGCATGTGGACATGTCGACTTTTCGACGCAGAAGATCGATACCAGCGTTGAAACGTCTAGTCCTGATTGTTGGGATTATAAATAAACAAAAAGTGAAGCACTTCACGTTTTTTTTTCGTTTGTCATAGGGAAAGAAAGAATATTTTGCTCTTTGTCTTATCTGTTGTCATGATAGAAGCGCATCCAGGTCGAATAGATTTGCATGTCAGCGGGTGAGGAATAGTCAGGGTAAGAAACTAGTAGCAAGTTACTTGTCGAGAATTTTTTAACGCGAGAAGAATCCTAAGCATCACCGCCAAATTCTTGCGTTTTTGCGTTGCTCCCATTCAGCAGAAATATTACCCGGACAAAGACAAAACTGTGCGAAAAGTAATCCTCGGAGAACTGTCACAAAAGTAGGAGCGCACAGCTTGTTATCTTCTCCTTCAACTTGGTGTTGTAAATCGAGCCGCTTAACGTCACGAAGTTGACGAGTTGCCAAAAAAATATGCAATCAGCTGATGGTGGGACAAAACTGGGCCTTTATGCGCAGTGTTATTCTAAACCTAGGTGCTCTGTTTGCTTGTTCAACGAGGATCGCTCTCACGTGACATCGTGGAGGCTAAAGTGGGCCCATTCTACCTCCGCCTACATAACGATAATGCTTTGTGCCCCTCGGTATCGGCTTGGCCCTGTGGCAAATGAGCACAGCGATGTGCGAATTCACGTCAGTTTTGTTGCAAACGCCTGGCACGCTATAGCTATATATATTTAAGACGGCGGAGAAATGTGTTGTAAATATATAGGAGCACAAAGTAGAGTTGCAATACTATGTGTATATCGAAATGTTTATGAATAGATAGACCTGTAGGGACACATAGTCATCAAACTCACTGCATGTCATAAACATTCAAAGAAATTGCAACTTTCTGCTATCAACAGAATTTAGGAGCGATCGTCAGTTCAACATTCTATCCGGTAGTGAATTTCACGTCTGTATCTCGCGGGATTCACAGGTTTGGCTTCAGTGCGTGAAAAGAAATGGCTCCGCCCCACCCAAAAGCACGTTGTCAGTGGACCCGACTGTCAGCGCGTGGCACGCCTCCTACCGCAGTGAGCATCGCAACCTCGAACCCGGCCTCGAGCTCAAATCCCAGTCGAAGCACACTCGAAGCGGACGCTCGTCCCCGTCTCACCTGCTACGGTCGATTGCCGATCCCGCTTGTCGTTGTGCAAGCTTCAACGCGCACCACTCAACCGCGGCTGTCGAAGATCTGCAACGATCCCCGCAGCGGCGCACAGATTGAACGAAGGGTTTTCCGCGCGCGTACTACAGTAGTTAACGGTGTCGTGTACCGTGGCGTCTCGCCGGGTACGGCTTTTTCGCTCACAGTGCACACCGCGGTGGGGAAGGAATGGGGGGAGAGGAAGGTTGCAGGCGGCGCTGCACTGACGACAACGGCGAGGCGTCTCTCTCCCGGACGCGTGCTATGAATAGAAGTCGCGTCCGAGTCTCAGCCGGCAGGCTCTCTTCCTCCCCCGCCGGTGAGGCCTAATTTGGCCCGGCCGAACTTGAGAACCAGACGTCGTCAGCGAGTCCAGGGGAAGACACCGAGGCTCCCTCCCGAGAGACGTAGCCGTCAACCCTGGCGCTATAGACACGCTCGCTCCACTAGCTCGAAAGCCCTCTTGCGTGGTGCAAAGCGAAGACTTACGCCATGCTGACTTGCGATACTGTAACTGTCGCTACCGACCCCAGTTCGAAATCTCGAAGTCGGCGCCTTGACAGTCGGAGGGAAGCCACTCGAGTACGACTCCCCGCTCTGTTTATTTTTTTCTTTCACGATCTGTCCAGCATTCCCTCCCCCTTCAATGGTTCCGTCTCCGCTTGGTCTGAGAATATAACTGAGAAGGTGAAGGCAGGGGGAAAGCCGGGGCATTCGGCGAGACCACGCGTCAGCTGTTGCGACGCCTGTCAACGTGTGGGGTTCACTGAGGGAACGTACCGCGAAGCAATCGCAGCACTCAAGAAATAGCGCGGACAAGGAACGGTAACACGGAGAGAGATTTAGTGAAGCTCAGCGGTGTCAACAACTCCTAGGCGATTTGGTTGGTACTGCGCATGCTCCGATAACGTTACGCCAATGCGTGGGATATTGCGGTTATACGTGGCGCGTCTGGCAACGCATTGGTGACGTAACTGGTGCTCAGAACACTTACGCGAGCATCGATACCTTAACTGGCATACGTCATCCCCAAGTATGTATGACGTATGTTTCAAGCATGCATGTTGCAGATAATTTGTATTTCTATGCCTAGCTCACACGTCCTGTAAGGCACAATAAAGGAAGAAAGAAAACTACGAACGAAAAAAGTTTCAACTCCCTCATGTCATTATTGTGCAGTTACGAAACAGCACTACCTAAACAACGAACTGAAAATGATCCGTTATAGTTTCACTGAAAACAGTCTTAGTGCAAACACGGTTGCACATGTTTCAAGGTCCCTTGACCCTGTAACCCATGCTATCGTACCGTCCCTGTGTAATTTTACATCTCTTCGTGTATACCATTTGATTCAGCACGAAGTATGAATAATTCCAGATTATGCTTCAAACTAAGAATTGCCCGGAATGCTGAAAGCTCGAGTAAGCTTCACTCACAATCGGCGAAAATTCAGACATTGCAACAGGAATGTCAGAAAGGGGAATTACGTAAAGCTTCCAATGTTGACGAAAGAGACAACGAGAGATGGTAATGTGGTAATAGGGTGCACTCATTTTCGCTACTGCTAGTAATTTTATTAATGACACTTAACACTACATAAAAACTAGAAAGTCAGAAATTACGGAGGTTTCATGATAGCTATCATGCATCTTGTGTGTCAGTTTTCATCTTTTTGCATAGCGCGCCCTTTACAGATACGAATCGAAAGCAGCTGTACGCGTATTGCCTTAACACCGTGCTCTTTTCGACGACTTTCACGCCTTTGTACTTCGTCAGGAAAACAAGTGTTTGTAATCAAACCCAGCTTCAAAGGCGCCGCTTCGAAACCCACGTTTTGGAGCCCAATTCCGAGTCGTTATCTTTTTTAGCGCTTGTGTGCGTCATTTCGTGTAGTGAGTCATTTGCAACCTGCGCAACAACCGTGAGAGAAAAGACATCAAATTTTGGTGTCCGGCCAGCGCCTTGCCTTTCACCCTCTCCCTCATTTTGTCCTTGTTTTATTTCTCTCTTTCGCGGTTATTTACTGAAGCTTCTCGAATCACGCCCTGACTGTGTCAGATTTAGCGTGATCGCGGAGGCGCGTTCAATCTCTCCGGCGAAAACAGTGCGCGGTCTTCTCTCGCCAGATGCAGCTTGCTTCAGAAGATAGCGGCGACACGGCAGTGGCGCTCGCAGAGAAGACCCGGTGGCAAGGGTCGATGTGGAGAGGGGGGGGGGGGCTCGTTTATATTTTGACTCTGGCTTCCCCGCGCGTGTTCTTTACGGCTGGGAGCATCCGTGTTATGTGTATATACACCCCCGCGACGTCCCTGGGAGGCAGAAACAAGGCCTCTGCCCGCAGAATCCGCATTTATGTTCTTTCTGACTTGCGAAATCCCCTGTGTAAACTGCAGTGCATTCTTTGGCTATCCCGCAGAAGTAGGACTGTGATTCTATTTCCCAACTACACCTGCAATCGTAAACACGACTTTCGTTAAACGGTGGTATGGGCCTTTTATTTGGTAGCGGAGCTGAAGGCCAGTAGTGGCTGCTGATTTGGAAGTGAGACAAATACAGTGAAGCACGAAGAGGGTATTAGAGGGCATGACGACAACAAATTAAGTCACACATGGCAATGCGTCTGTATGTTTGAACACTCTAATCCGTGTCTTCATATCGTTTTTGCTACAGTTATGTACCGAAAAGATTTACCTATAAACATTTGTCAACCCGCCATGGTGGTATAGTGGCTAAGGTATTCAGCTGCTGACCCTCAGGCCACGGTTTCGAATCCCGGCTGCGGCGGCTGCATTTTCGATGGAGGTGGAAATGCTGAAAGCGCGTGTGGTCAGATTCGGGTGCACGTTAAAGAAGCCCAGGTGGTCGAAATTTCCGGAGCCCTTCACTGCGGCGTCTTTCATATACATATGGTGGTTTTGGGGCGTTAAACCTCACGTATCAATCAAGTATAACCATTTGTCAAAACCATAACTATGTTTAAATACAACTACACGTCATCTCTAGCTTCGCTACACAAACATCCGCCTGATTCGTGTGCGCACGTCATTTTCAAAGGATGATAGTTGGGAGGCCTTAGCATTGGCCCAGCCTTTTCGGGCTTCTTTGTCGATGTTGCAATAAATGAAACAAAATAAGCGACACAGGCATGTCAGTGTCTACCATTTAAGAGGCTGACAAACCATAAAAATGTACACAGTTTTACTGCGAGAGCGAAGCAATTGATGCGATAGCGTGCAACTAATTGTACTGTAGTATGAAGTAAGTACTTATTTAGCTTTCTATCTGGATTAACTCAGTGAAACACTTGCGTAAAGAAACAAGGCTGCTGCAGTGAGCGGAGCGACCTTCCTGCTGTATATCACTTCAGTGCAAATTTAGCAGTGGGAACAAGGCACGCTAAAAAAAAAGAAACAGAGCCGTCTGGTCATCTCTGTCAAGATAGAGCGCACGTGACCATTTCCGGCCGCTTAGAGTAAGCAACTTGTGCGGAAGCCATGCAGACCTCCCATTCCCATTTCTCCTATGAAGCATCCATTGGCATCCTTCCTATTATTCCCCCTTTACCCTACCCCGAGTGTAGGATAGCCAATCGAGCAAAGCTTGGTTAACCTCCTTGCGTTTAAAATGGAACGGCTATTTGGCCTAGTTGGTTGAATTTCATTATAATAAGGGTTGCAGCGCAAGCACGAAAGTGCTGGAAGAAAAGCGAACAGAAGGCGAAGAACGGAAAGCAAAGAAGGACAACACGAGCCTTTCCTTTCTCTCTCTCTCTCTCTTTATATATATATATATATATATATATATATATATATATATATATATATATATATATAACTGGTTATTGGTGACGTTTCGATCGGAGACCGATCTTCATCAGACCAGAAGATCGGTCTCCGATCGAAACGTCACCAATAAACAGTTTTTTAGAGGCGTATACTTATTTTTCCTTAATTCTACGGCAACTGAAGCCTTTAAACTTTATAATCTACGTATATATATATATATATATATATATATATATATATATATATATATATATATATATATTAGGTTGTATAAGAGGGACAATTAACCAGCTGCCCGTTCATAATAAGTTCGCGTGCTACGTGACGCCAAACATGCGAATAAGAGTGTTTTCACACTCGTCGCTTGGCTTGTAGATGGCGCTGACTGTCACTCCTACTTCTAAATTCACATATAAACACAAAAAAGTGGAAGGAGGGAAGGCCGCTGTGGTAGCTCAGTGGTTAGAGCATCGAACGCGTTATTCGAAGGTCGTAGGTTTGATTCCTGCTCACGGCTGGTTATTTTTTCATCCACTTTTCTTTCTTGTTATTTACATTCCATTGGTTCTAATAACTTCCACCGTACATTCCTTGGCATTACTGTCTGTTAGATCTCATTAATATTGTGTTAAAACACGGAAAAACGAGCCCTTAGGTATGCACTTCTCTCCCTAATTTTATATATATATATATATATATATATATATATATATATATATATATATATATATATATATATATATATATATATATATATATATATATATATCGCTCTCTTCCACTACACACGGAACATACGACACGCGGAGAGATGTTATCACCCCGGGACTTGAAAAGAAACTTCACGACCACGGCGACTCTAACGGCGAAAATTCTAGCGTTGATATTATTGCTGTCGCAATGAAACCAGTGGAAAGGTAATTGCAGATTACCTTAGAAGTGTGGCAACTTGGGATAGTTGGTATGACATGACGATAATTATAGCACGAAAAGAAAACGACGACACAGCGACTTCGTGTCCTTCTTGTCCCTGTGTCATCGTTCTGTTCTCGCGCTATAACTATCGTCATGCAGATTACCATTGCAAAACTGACTTAATAACTCATGTCAGATTTAATACTAGCAAGTGTCATTACTTTATTACAGACACGAAGACAAAAAGCTAGATTATAATTTTCTTATGAACTTCGGAACAAAAAACTATAGCTCTAGATCCATCCCCGTATTTGACATCCCTAGCTTGCAGGCCCTCCCGACACCAGCACGCCAACACCTCCACCCCATATTTTGCTCGCACTGACCTGTTTAAGTACACATATTTTCCAAGAACAATCAGTAAATGAAATTTTATTACTAATACATGTGATCAGACTGCAAACTGAC